GGGGATATGATCTCCATGTATAATACATAAGGGGGGATATGATCACCATGTATATTACATAAGGGGGGATATGATCTCCCATGTATAATACATAAGGGGGATATGATCACCATGTATAATACATAAGGGGGGATATGATCACCATGTATAATACATAAGGGGGGATATGATCACATGTATAATACATAAGGGGGGATATGATCACCATGTATAATACATAAGGGGGGATATGATCACCATGTATATTACATAAGGGGGGATATGATCTCCATGTATAATACATAAGGGGGATATGATCACCATGTATAATACATAAGGGGGGATATGATCACCATGTATAATACATAAGGGGGGATATGTATAATCATAAGGGGGATATGATTCTCCATGTATAATACATAAGGGGGGATATGATCTCCATGTATAATACATAAGGGGGATATGATCTCCATGTATAATACATAAGGGGGATATGATCTCCATGTATAATACATAAGGGGGATATGATCTCCATGTATTATAATGATCACCATGTATAAGGGGGATATGATCTCCATGTATAATACATAAGGGGGATATGATCACCATGTATAATACATAAGGGGGGATATGATCTCCATGTATAATACATAAGGGGGGATATGATCTCCATGTATAATACATAAGGGGGGATATGATCTCCATGTATAATACATAAGGGGGATATGATCACCATGTATAATACATAAGGGGGGATATGATCTCCATGTATAATACATAAGGGGGGATATGATCACCATGTATAATACATAAGGGGGGATACGATCACCATGTATAATACATAAGGGGTTATGATCATGATCATAAGGGGGGATATGATCACCATGTATAATACATAAGGGGGGATATGATCATCATGTATAATACATAAGGGGGATATGATCACCATGTATAATACATAAGGGGGGATATGATCTCCATGTATAAATACATCAGTGGTTCAGTGGTTCATATAGTGAACTCGGTGTAGAGTTTTTTTACCCTGAGGTCATCACAAAGAACAAGGGGGTACTCTACGTCTGGAGGAAAAGAGATTTAATCTCCAAACACAGAAAGGTTTCTTCACAGTAAGAGCTTTGAAAATGTGGAATTGACTCCCTCAAGAGTTGGTTCTGGACAGCTCAGTGGATTGCTTTAAAAAAGGCCTGGATTTTTTTTTAGATACACAGAATATAACTGGATACTAACATTTATAGGTAAAGTTGATCCTGGGAATATGTGATTGCCTCTCGGGGGATCAGGAAGGAATTTTTTTCCCCTGCAGGAGCAAATTGGATCATGCTTTGCTGGGTTTTTTGCCTTCATCTGGATCAACTGTGGGTATAGGATTATAACTTTTTTATTTTTTATGGTTGAACTGGATGGACTTTTGTCTTTTTCAGCCAGACTATCTACAGTATATAACTATGTAATTACTCATTCTTTTATCTCTTGTATGTATGGCGTATTACACCAATGTATTGTGAGCCATTCCTTTATTTTCAGCAGGTGTTCCCAGAGATTCGAAGATCATCTCTATCTATCTTTTTACAGCTTACTCAGCTGTAAAAAGTGTTAGATTGCTCTGGAGGTAAATATAACACAATGATGGCAGGGATCCTGTGTTTTCTCAGTACAGTGACATGTTTGGCATGCCCTATTTAGTTTCTAGAATGTGGAAGGGTCAGGGCTAGTATAGTTTTTTTTCCATTCTATAGGCTGCTTTCACACTGATCCACTTTTGGTGCGTTCTTCAGTTAAGAAAAGCAGAAGAAAAAAAACACAAGAAAACTGCATCCCTTTAAACCTTTCACAGCTAAAGCTGTTTTTGCTTTTTTTTTTTTTGCATAAAATCATTTTAGGCCTGAAGATTACACAAAACCCCCAATACATTATATATTTTCTGAAAGCAGAAACCCTAGAGAATAAAATAGTGGTAGCTCCAATTTTTTATGTTACACGATATTACCGCAAAGGTCTACGATATGCAAAATTTCAGTAAAAAAAAAACTCACTAAAGTGAATTTTAGGGCAAACAAATGCAATAAATTACCACATTTTTGGTAAAATATAACAGATGAGATTGCATTGAGTAGATAGATACCCAACATGCCAAACCTTAAATTTGTGTGCGCCTGTGAAATGGCGACAAACTTCAGTACCCTATATATTCTATAGGCGATGCTTCAAAATCCCCTACAGGTCAGCAGTTTAATTTTACAGAGGAGGTCTTTTTCTAGATTTATTGCTCTCACTCCAGTGTGAGCAGCAATATGTAACATGTGTATTGCAATGAACGTTTTCATGTGTAGGCTTCCCCGATTTACATTTGTACATGAGTATATGAGAGGGTGCGGGGCCTCAAAGTTTTTTTGGGGGGAATGTTATGTGCTTGGGTATAACTTTTTTTTTTATGCTTGACTGTTTTTTTTTCATCACATAGAGGACACAAAGTCCCCTATGTCAGGGGTCTCCAAAGTTTCTAAACAAAGGGCCATTATACCATCCTTCAGACTTTAGGGGGGCCAGACTGTGCCCAATGGGAATGAGCAGTGTCCCATCTTTTGTTCCCTATTGTTGGTGTCAGTTGGAGGAATAAGCATGTATTGCAATATGTGTGTACTAAATATCCCTATTTATTGCATAGTCTGCTTGAAAGGGTATATACCAGTGTGCAGAGAGTCCTTCAGAATTTCTAGTTGGAGGAATAGTGTCTCCTCATTGGTGTCAGAAGGAAAAGTGCCTTATTGTTGGTGTCAGTAAAAGGAATTATGTCCCATTGTTGGTGTCAATAGGAGTGATAGTGCCCTATGGTTGATGTCAGTGGCAGGAATTATGCCCCATCGTTGATGTCAGCGGGAGGAAAAATGCCTCAAGTTCCAGATATAGACAAGCAAAGGACCACATCTGGCCCCTGGGCAACAGTTTGGAGACCACTGCCCTATGTGATGATTTTTAGGTGACAGGTTCTCTTTACTGAGACATGCAGGGTCTAAAAGACCCTGAAAGTGTCCGCTTGTCTCCACTGGATGTATTGCAACGAAGATCACATAGTAATACATTACTCCCCTATTCTAGCTTGGGAAAGTGACAGCAGTGACCTGGAGGTCACATCATATGAGTCGCTTTCTGGGTCAAAGTAAGAAGGAGAGGAGAGCAGACGTGTGTCCGCTCTTCTCCCTCCACCCACCAGCATCCATCATGTTGGCCCCAGGCCCGCAGATTGGCAAGCGGAACCCAGAATTACATGGCAAGGACATGCACAGCCAGACAGGCAGGAGTCTGCTTATCAGTTTTATATACAATCCCAGTGGCTGCGGCCACCAGATTGTGTGTAAAACCCCCCACTGTCAGGTCCATACGACATACGGGCCTGGCAGCGAAAGGGTTAAATACGACATTGGTCCGTTGCGCATCAGTTGTGGTTTTAAAAATACTGTTTGCTACATTTTTGGTGCATGTTTTGTCTGTTGAAAAAATGCTAAAAAATGCAACCCTCTATTGAAATGAATAGAAACCACATCAAAAATGCATGAAAAAGGCATCAATAATGCAACTCACCTCTGGGACATTCTCAAGGCTGGGTTTACAGAATTGCATGAGAAGGGTGATCACATTATATTCAGCAGTGCCCTTCTAATGAACTCGGCTCAATATGATTTTGGAAAAGGTTGCCAATGGACTTCAGTGCAAATTCAGCCCCATAGGCTTCTATGTTCTCTCAGAGAAGTCGCATCAGCATAGATAAGAGCCATTCCTATAAAAGGATGATGGATTCAGTATTCTTTTTTTTAACCTTCACCTCACCTCCCTGGTCATCCTTCATCCATGGATTTTGATCCAGCTGCGATTTTGGAGCCTTCCTTTGATTGATCAATCCTTCCTTTGATCTATTGATCTATCCGCGCAATTGTCAGTTAAAGTAATACAATGCTATATCGCAAAAAAATGGCCTGGTCAGGAAGGGGGGGGTAAATCCTCTGGAGGGCAAGTGGTTAAAGTGCATTGCGAGTGAAAACGCATGGCAACATGTGTGTTTTGTTCTATTTTCTGTTGATTGCAATTGAAAACACATCAGAAAAAAAAGAACCAAAAGGCAAAGGTGTGATTTTTACATCTAAGCACTGCAGGAAAACACGTTTGAATTTTAAATCATTTTGAAGAGCATCCCCAACTCACGAAGGCAATACACATGCCTTGCATCACCATAGCGTGTAGCTTTAGGAATTTTGTGGCACTTATGTTTTTTTTTTTTGCATGATTTAGTGTGCTGACAGCTGTTTTTTTTTTCAATGGGCTGCCCTAATGCAACGCATGTGAACGCACCACCATTCCAGAGCAGTGTAGAGTGTGCTGGGATGGTGTGATGCATTTTCCTTTTCCTATCACTACGCAGAGGAAACAGACACATACTGTATGCTTCATATTTCCTGATCTCACTGAGGATATTTACAGACATTCCTCACCATGCATCATTAATACAATATAATCGATTTATTTCCATGTAGAAGCCCAAACAGTGTCCTGGATGGAGGAGGGAGAGAGAAAGGCTAAGGACTGAACAGAGTCATTGTTGCTGCACTGCAACAAGTACTGTAAATCAAAAATGACTGAATGCTATCAGCTCGTTCAAAAAGCACTGCAGTTGCGATCTGCGTTGGGCACCATTGTTAAGTGGAACTTAAAAAAAAAACTAGATCACCTTAGTCTGGCCGCTTTCACAGGTATAGCTATGTAAAACATTACAAATAAGTACCTATCCCCTCCAGAGGATTTACCCCCCCCCCCCCCCCCCTCCTGACCAGGCCATTTTCTGCAATACGTCGCTGCATTACTTTAACTGACAAATGCGCGGTCATGCAACGCTGCATTCAAATTAAATTCATGTCCTTTTTTTCCCCACAAATGGAGCCTTCTTTTGGTGGTATTTGATCGTCTCTGCGTTTTTATTTAGCAGTTTATATTTACTAAAATAATCGCACTTCCATGTTGTGTGTACTGTGGGAGACCGAAAATAGTGAATGCAGGGTCCAGGGAGACCACATATAGTGAATGCAGGGTCCTGGGAGACCAGATATAGTGAATGCAGGGTGCTGGGAGACCAGATATAGTGAATGCAGGGTCCAGGGAGACCACATATAGTGAATGCAGGGTCCTGGGAGACCGGATATAGTGAATGCAGGGTGCTGGGAGACCAGATATAGTGAATGCAGGGTCCGGGGAGACCAAATATAGTGAATGCAGGGTCCAGGGAGACCACATATAGTGAATGCAGGGTCCGGGGAGACCAGATATAGTGAATGCAGGGTGCTGGGAGACCAGATATAGTGAATGCAGGGTCCGGGGAGACCAGATATAGTGAATGCAGGGTCCGGGAGACCGGATATAGTGAATGCAGGGTCCGGGGAGACCGGATATAGTGAATGCAGGGTCCTGGGAGACCACATATAGTGAATGCAGGGTCCTGGGGAGACCGGATATAGTGAATGCAGGGTCCGGGGAGACCGGATATAGTGAATGCAGGGTCCTGGGAGACCGGATATAGTGAATGCAGGGTCCGGGGAGACCGGATATAGTGAATGCAGGGTCCGGGGAGACCACATATAGTGAATGCAGGGTCCGGGGAGACCAGATATAGTGAATGCAGGGTCCGGGAGACCGGATATAGTGAATGCAGCTTCCAATCCTGGGCAGCACAGTGGCTAAATGTTTAGCACTTCCGCCTGGCAGTACTAGGGTCATTGGTTCAAATCTCAGCCACGGCCCATGGCACCACCTGCCTGGAGTTTGCATGTTCTTCCTGTGCCTGCGTGGGTTTCCTCTGGGTACTCCGGTTTCCTCCCACACTCCAAAGACATGTTGGTAGGTAAATTGGTTCCTGTCTAAATTGTCCCTAGTATGTGTATGTATGAATGTGAGTTAGGGACCTTAGATTGTACGCCCCTTGAGGGTTAGGGACTGATGTGAATGTACAATATATATGTAAAGCACTGCGTAAATTGATGGTAAAATAAATAAATAAATCATGGAGTCAGAAGATTTTTTTATTCATTGATTGGTGTCACTTGGCTTAGGCCTAGGAAGAACATAACTCGCCACCCCCCATGGCACTCTTCCTCCCCACTTCAGTCCAATCCACAGCCCACCTGCACAAAGGGTACCCCGCTGATGCCTATAGTCCCCCCAGCCTGGTGAACAAATAGGAACCCTCTTGGGGTCACATATATAAAACACCAATCATATTCCAGCTCAGAAAGCGAGTGCTGCTCAAAGCAACCCCACCAATCCTCCTTCCCACCCCCAGATTCCTAACACCCGTAACGTGTTTCTAGCCCTGGGTGAAGACAGCTGGGGACACACACGTGTCAGCAGCCAGTGGTAATACCCCAGACTGGCCGCTGAGGGCGCGGTGTGGCGCACAAGTCCGCCTCTGCTGTCACATGACCGCTTCCTCCCTCCCGGCCGGGCGTGATTCGGTCACATGATGTGAAGTGACAGGCGACAGGAGGAAGAGATCTCGCGAGAGTTGGCTGTCCGAGAGAGCTGCAGCGTCTGACACTTCCGTGTTGAGAAGCAAGAGAGAGAGAGCGGGGCTGTGTGAGCGGAGGACGGGATGTGAGGGAAGGAGAGCGGACATCTGGCCTGGCTGTGGTCTGACTCAGGAGGGGAGCTGAGTGAGGGTCACCTGAGGCCAAGGCTGCTCAGTGAGGGAAGGGGGGCAGTGTCAGGTAGGTCTGTGAGGGAGGAGGTGGGTTGTATTAGTGTGTGGGTGAGGGGCAGTTTGCATTAGTGGGGGGTTGTGTCAGTGTGCGGGTAAAGGGGGTAGACCCTCAAAGAATGAGTGCCTTGGGTTGAGCTGAGTGGGATCACCTTGGGTTGAGCTGAGTGGGATCACCTTGGGTTGAGCTGAGCGGGGTCTCATTGGGTTGATTGGGATCACCTTGGGTTGAGCGGGGTCTCATTGGGTTGATTGGGATCACCTTGGGTTGAGCGGGGTCTCATTGGGTTGATTGGGATCACCTTGGGTTTTTTGGGTTGATTGGGATCACCTTGGGTTGAGCGGGGTCTTTTTGGGTTGATTGGGATCACCTTTGGGTTGAGCGGGGTCTTTTTGGGTTGATTGGGATCACCTTGGAATAAGCAGGGTCTCCTTGGGTTAGTTGAGTTGGATTGCCCTTGGTTGAGTGGGATCACCTTGGGTTGAGCAGGGTCTCCTTGGGTTGAGTGGGATCACCTTGGGTTGAGCAGGGTCTCCTTGGGTTGAGTGGGATCACCTTGGGTTGAGCGGGGTCTTTTTGGGTTGATTGGGATCACCTTGGAATAAGCAGGGTCTCCTTGGGTTAGTTGAGTTGGATTGCCCTTGGTTGAGTGGGATCACCTTGGGTTGAGCAGGGTCTCCTTGGGTTGAGTGGGATCACCTTGGGTTGAGCAGGGTCTCCTTGGGTTGATTGGGATCACCTTGGGTTGAGCGGGGTCTTTTTGGGTTGATTGGGATCACCTTGGGTTGAGCGGGGTCTTTTTGGGTTGATTGGGATCACCTTGGGTTGAGCGGGGTCTCCTTGGATTAGTTAAGTTGAATTGCCCTTGGTTGAGCGGGATCACCTTGTCTTGAGCGGGGTCTCCTTGGGCTGATTGGGATCACCTTGGGTTGAGTGGGGCCACCTTGGGTTGAGATGAGCACAATTGCCTTGGGTTGAGTTGAGCAGGGCTACCTTGGGTTGAGCAAGGTCAGGACTGAGAGCCAATGTTCTTGTAGGAGTAGGTGGAATCTAAACCAAGAGACGATTGGGTCACAGTCAGGGGGGATTTTGGCTTGCAGGAGTAAAGTGGGGTCATTATCGGTGTGGGTGGTCTGAGTTTACAATAAAAGTGAGTGAAGAACCCTGATTAAAGGAAAGTGAGGGTCTGGGGAAGATACATAAGCAAGGGCACTGATTGTGTGTATCGGTGAGGAAGCTCTGACTAGTGAGAAGGACAGAGGGTGGTTTGCCCAGACTGGCTGGGAGTGTGGGGCCTTGAAGAGAAGGATTAAACAGAAGGTGATCATGGTCTGAGTGTAAGAGGAAGATCCAAGTCGGGCTCTATAATAGGTGAGGGATCTCGGAGTAAGAACTAAGTAAGGTTAGAGGGTAAAGTGACTGGATTTGCCCATGCTCAGATTGGAGAAATAGGGAAGTCTGGTTTTAGCTCCTCTAAATTTTCACTTTACGCTAGGAATCCCGCTGATCTGTCTTAGGTTCAGTTTACGAGTTTAGAATCTGGTAAGACAGGTCAGGGTAGATCTGGGGGAGTGGCTTGGTTCAGGATAGTTATGTTTAAATGTTTTTATGCGTCATAAAGGCCAGACAAGCGTGCAGGTGACGTACCTGTTACTATGTATAGCTGGTTTTAGAGAGCGATGATGTGTGGCCTATCCTCCTAACAATGCCCTAGTGTGACAGGAAGAGATGTCTTCTGCTTCTGGGAACTGACTTTCTCCACCTCTTTGAATTTTTTTTTTCTCACACGTTGCCCAAAAATCAGCTTCCCAGATGTGGCTGCAGCAGAGGCTTAAGGGACTCCCAGGACTGCTGTCCAGCAGCTGGGCTCGGAGAGTCCTTGCACTATTGGGGTTCCTTTTCATCATCTACTGGTATATCTCCTCAGGACCAATGTTTAGATCCTTGTGGTACTCAAGTCAGCCTCGTGGTGCTCCTGGAGCTTGCCTACAGACACAGACTAAGCAATGGAAAGCACTTGCAGAGAAAGGAGATGTGATGATGGTTACATATCCCGGTGAAGAATCCAAATTGCAGGGCCCAGCCACGGTTGGCAATGGACATGTTCTTGTTGATGTTGGGAAAAACACCTTGTGGGTTTCCTCCTCATCTGTATCTTTTCACTTGACGGACTATCCCCCATTGACATTTGTAAGGCATTCAGGTACTTCATCAGAAGTCCACACCACTGCTGTTTTCCTTAGAGAGGGTTTGATACGGACAGTTCGCTGCATGCAGATTGAGGCATCTGACACCGCCAGGGACTGTGTTTCTGTCCGGGAGGACTACTTTGCTCACAGGAGCCGACCTCATGTGTATGTGCAGAGGATCCATGTCACCAATCCTAGCGAAAGAGTTGTGGCTTTTGATATCGCTACTCAGAAGCCACTTGCTGGGACCAAATTCTCCAGCAGTGTCGAGAAGGTCCAAGACCGGCAATTTCTGCTGTCCTCTGGACGGGTTTCCTTGGAAGATGGAAAAAGTATGCTGGTGGTGGTTGCCACCAAAAAGGTGGTCAGCAGGGTGCAAGTCAGCCCAAAATCTGAGTTTGATGAGACATTTTTGTCTGTTATTTACACATCTGAGCCAATTGATTCCGGAAAACTGGAAGAAACTTTTAGCAAGTTACGGGAGGCTGCCAAGAAAGAGATGCTGGAGGTGATGCGGATGAGGGTGGAGGACTTGTTTAATGAACATCAGCAGATATGGTCTGACTTGTTTGTTTCAGGTAATTAAGGAAGTATGCCTTTATTTGTATGTATTTTTTTCTTCATTGTTTAGGTTTTGTTTTGGATAGAGTAGGGAATATTTCAGTCAGTTTTTTTCCCATGCTGTCTTTGTCTCAGGAGGGATATTTTCCTTCACTTCCTATCCCAGAGACAACATGTCATTTGCAAGGGGACAAATTTTCCAGCAGTATCGCGAAGGTCCAATACCGGCCATTTTCTCTTGTTCTCTGGACAGGTCTCAATGGAAGATGGAAAAAGTATGCTGGTGGTGGTTGAAGGAAATCTTTCCAAAGCGAGGGGAATTTTCATCCCAGGTTTTTTTACACCAGTCTTCATGCTAAAACAACATCTGCAACTGAATTTTCATGTTTTCAATGACAGCAATTGATTCACCACCAGTGAATGCTTGGTGACAGTCACATTCGCTGCTTTATAATTATGCCCCCTTGTTTGGTACAGACGTGAGGTGATATCTCCCCAACAGGGAAACAAACAGCCCAAATCCAAAGAGAGTCGCTGATCTTTCCCCACTTTTTCCAGAACGGAAAGTAGATCTATAGGCAAAACATTTGTTTTTTTTTTTTTTTTTTTTTCATTTTGGACAGAATGGGGGAGGGTAATAACACCTGTTGGATTTTTTTTTTTCGCCATCTGTGACCTTTAGGGAGATTTCCCTTTACTTCTTCCCCCTTAGCCAAACAAGACGTGAGAGGAAATCCTTGTAAATTAATCCAGATCACCAAAACTAATGTCTCCACTGGAAGTTTTCCCTTCTATTACTTTTCTGGAGACAACCCAAAATTTGGGATTTACTTTCACTTTTGATGATAATGATAAACGCAAGACAAATAAGAGAGGGTGACACAGACAACAACAAAAAAAAAAAAACCTGACAGGTGTTCTAAGTCATCTCCACTCTGTCCAAAACAAAAAAAAAATTGCCTTTAATTATACTTTTAAGAAGTCCCATTAGCTTTGAAAAGTTAAATGCTGGCTTATAGATTTATTTAGAAATGATTTCCCTTCTTCAAAGAAAGGCTAAGGCTCCGTTCACACCAATGTGGTTTTTAATGCTTTTTGCAGAAACGCACTACAGTCCATTTAACCCCTTCACGCCGGATCGCCCCAGCGTGAAGAGGAGTTCCTGCGCCAGGAGGTGGACGGGGGCGTGGCTTAGTGTCATGTGGCCGCCGTGACGTCACGGCCGGTCACATGATCGGGAAAGGTCCTGATCGAAAGAGCGGACCGGGACCTTTCCGTGAGTACCTCACATGTGTGCTGGGAGCGCACAGGGCGCGCGCTCTCAGCACATATGTTTTTTGTTACATGAACGCAAATGCGTGGCCTCTCGGCGTCTAGGCCCAGATGCCGGGAAGCCGCACATTTGCGTGCGGCCGGCGTGAAGGGGTTAACATGGTTTCCTGTGGAAGATTTTCTCATCTATGCTTTTTTGAGCTGCTGCGGTTTTGGAGAGGGTCACGGACGTTTTTAAAAGCAAAAAGCAGCATTTTTGCTACAATAGAGTTCAATGGAGAATCTGCTGAAATGCATGGTAGTCTTTGCATTTTTATTCTACTCCACAAAAAAAACAAAAATTCCACTTAAAAAAAAAAAAAAAAACTGAACAAAACGCGTGTAGAAAAGTGCAAAACAAACTGCAAAATGGATAAAAAGCAAACTGCATAGGTGTGAACAGAGCCTAAGTGATTAAGAGATTCCCTTCTTTACTTGTTCCAATCTGACCTGCAGGCTCCTCACCTGCCAGAAGCCCAATTTGTGGGTGTTTCTGTTATTGAGTGCTGATGGCATTCACTCAAATCAGTGTAGTAATGGAGAACAAGAGGAGAGCGCTGACACTTCCCTTCCTCTGCATCACTTTACTGTGCATGGCTGTTGAAGACCTCCCTTGTTTCCACCTAACGATGGGGCTGGTCTTGGCCAAATGCTTGGTGCCTAAGACCAATGCTGTCAATCAGCACTAATTATTGAGCTCCGGTTCTATTGCACCGACTGAAGTGGGACAAAGTGCTACACTCCTTTTCTGCCATTGGAACAGGATTAAGAAAAACACATTTGTTGATACTTCTGCTTTAAAGTAGAATTTCGTCTTTACTATGACTATAACTAGTTAGTTTGGGCCAGGCTGGTCCACACGAGCTGATTCCTTTACATAACATTGTACATGCTGTTGCTGTGTGTGTGCTGTAATATACTGTATGTTGTAGCTTTAGCTCCATACAATATACAGCACTGTGTTCCGGCAGCAGTACAGGATGACTTCTTGTCTGGCACTGGAGCTAGAGTCGGGATGAATGCTTCTCTGCCATTTTGGAGAAGCCCTGTGTTTGTCAATGAATACAAATCTTATGATTAGCTGAGCTGGAGAAGAGGGTGGATGACGTCATGATTTCCACTTCGGCTAATTATCGATTAACCACTTCCAGCCCGGACACTTTCACCCCCTTCCAGTCCAGGCCATTTTTCAGCTTTCACCGCTCTCGCACTTTGAATGACAATTGTGCGGTCATGCAACACTGTACCCATTTTTTAGCATTTTTTTGAGACAGATAAAACTTTATTTTGGTGGTATTTATTTACCGCTGGGATTTTTATTTTTTTGCTATATAAATGAAAAAAACATTTTGAAAAAAAGTGTTTTTCTTATAAAATTTTGCAAATAAATAATCTTTCTTCATAAATCTTGGCCAAAATGTATTCTATCTTTTTAGTAAAAAAAAAATAAATAACCCAAATTAGTTTATAACCAAAAATTATAATTTTTCAAAACAATTTTTTACATTTTTATTAAATTTTTTTTAATTAGTATCTTTTTTTTTTTTTTTTTTTTTTTTTTAACACACTGTCACCCTAGCAGTACATTGTCACCATAGTGACACTGTACTACTTGTGGGGGTGATGAAGATTTTTTATTTTTCATTACACTGATTGCTTTTATACCCATAAAGGCTGTAAAAGCAATCATTTCTCCTTCTCCCTGGCTGCATTCCTGCAGCCATTGAGAAATACTGTGACAGCTGTGATTGGTCACAGCTTGTCACATGGTACAAGGCTGTTGTGAATAGCCTTGTACCATGTGACCTCTGTGATCATTTACAGATTTCACAAGTAGTAAGCAATGATGTCAGGAAGTGACATCTTGTTTGCTACTATTCATGTGATCATTGATTTGCCAATCAGTGATCACATGATCATGACCTCACACGGGTCCCATACAGCGATCGGTGTTCCACTGTGTCCGGAGAGCGCACAGGCAGGGAATGGGCAGCACAGTGGCTAAATGGTTAGCACTTCCACCTGGCAGTACTAGGGTTATTGGTTCGAATCCCAGCCACGGCACCTCCTGCCTGGAGTTTGCATGTTCTTCTTTTGCCTGCGTGGGTTTCCTCCGGGTACTCCGGTTTCCTTCCACACTCCAAAGACATGATGGTAGGTTGATTGGCTCCTGTCTAAATTGTCCCTAGTATGTGTATGTATGAATGTAAGTTAGGGACCCGCTCCTGCACTACTCCTGTCTGGCCATTTATGTACATGTGCTGGACGGGAAGTGGTTAAATACAAGGCTTCCCCAAAATGGCAGACACATTCAGGCCAACTCTACTGGCAGTAGTACAGGTGACTTCCCATCATACTAGTACAGTATATTACAGCGCACACTGCAGCCGCCTTTCCCTGAAAAGAAAACTATTTGGGGCAAAACAAACTATTTAAATTCACAGTAAAGCTGGAAATTTAACTAAAAAAATTCCAATATCAAACCCTGGTGCATTTCTGCAGTGCCTGTACCTCCGGGCCAAATTGTAAACATCTCAGCCCTGGAGCCCATAGATTCATTTTACCTTTGTTCATTAGCTATTCAATTCCCAGAAATTGTGCATGTTAGTGTGTTGCTTTTGGCAACCAAAGGGTTATTTCTGGGACCGTGCGTACATAACCCATAAAGGCCTTGTTCATACTTGTGTTTGGGGAGCAATAAGAACTAGCAATTGAGATGCGTTTTTACCACTCCCCCAATTGCTATCCCTTAGGCTTGGTTCACACTGCCGCGACTTGGGATCTGCCTTGTGAAACCCCACATGACATGTGAAATCTCATGGTAGTCAATGAGAGCCGTCCTAATTAGCATGACTGAAGTCGCTCCGACTTTAGAAAAGGTTCCTGTACTACTTCAAGGCGACTTCTATCCGACTTGTGCCCATAGACTTTAATAGAAGTCACCTCCAAGTCCATCTATATTGATGTGATTTAGATCCAATATTACAGGAAATTTAACCAGACATTCCCTGAAAGTTGCTTCAAAATCGCTTCACAGTAGTACTCAAGTTTCCCGGAAAAGTCGCACTGCAAGTCGCGCAACTTTCAGGTAGCAGTAGTGTGAACTGAGGCTTGTGCTGTTAACCCCCCTGGTGGTATTCCCGAGTGTAGCTCGGAGTAACGTTTCAGCACCACAAGTGGTAACCCCGAGCTACACTCGGGAATACACTGCAGTGTTACTCCGGGATCTCTCCTGCACTTACCTTGTCCTGCGCTCCCGCGATGTCCTCCCTGCAGCGTCCCCGGCCATCTCCTCCGGCTGATGCCGGCATCTGTCTTCTGGTTTCCGTTCCCTGCGACGTCGGGACGTACAGGGGACAGAACGGCGGGAAATTTAAAAATGTCAAAAAGTGACATTCACTAAATACACTAAAGATCACATAGTATAACATTCCTGTATCAAACCATTTCACATACATTTTGTCCCGAGTTCTTTGTCCTGCGCCCTGCCTGCATTTTGACTGTTCTTTCTGCCTGGAAACTGAGAAAAGTCCATGGCGTCCAAAAAAGCGTCCCTTTAGGTCAAAAGCGGTTTTAGACCAACTAGAGAACAGCGATAGTAAATCAGAACCACTTGCAGAATTGAGTGATAATGATTTGTGGGGGAAATTCGTCATCAGACACTGAAAACGATTCTGCGACTTTGCTCAGCGATGTGCGAACTTGGCGCTATATTTCAAATTTCAGTGTTTTTGGTTTGATTATATTATTGAATTCAATTTATTATTATATTTTTATTTTTTATAATTATTTATTAAATTATAATTTATGATTTCGTGTTTCAAATTTTAACATACCCGGGATGTCTACTAGACTTTTGTTCGGACAGATTTCAGTGAGTTATTCCTAAAAATTACAGGCCTACAATAAAAAAAAAAACGACATATCTCCATGCAAAAAGTGTACCGCTTTGAGCACAGAAATATGGACATAATCAGACCGCTAGGGAGGCTACGGAAACAGAGTGGGGAATACATATGCTGAACTTTGCATTATGGTGCAGCAAACATTTCACGGTCAGCAGTCCTATTGCATGCAACCCATTCAACTGAATGGGCATATTGTACAACCACATACAATGCATGTGGTTGTGGCATCTTAGTTTGGGGCAGGTTCAAAGTCCTCAGGAGTCATGTTTTCAGGATTTCCATTATTTTGCACAGGTGATTTGATCAGTTTCACTGCCTTGATAGCTGTTTCATCTGAGGGAAATCCTGAAAACATGATCTGTTGGGGGTTGACTGGAGTCTGTAGGAGCTGAGAAAAAATGCCTCTTTGCTGTCTGTAAAATCTGAAAAACATTCAGAGCACAAATTACTCTGCAGAGAGCAATGCTAGTATAAGCTAGCCCAAGAAATGTCAGTTTTTGTACCTTCTTTCATTTTATTGGGTCATTTTGTAGGTGGTTTGTTATGAGTTTTTCTCTATAGTAAGGCAGGCAGATGCCAGGACGGAGCCGGCGATCTTCATTTTGTAGAAGAATATCTGAGCTTTGTTCCTGTTTTGTGAAGAAAGGTCACACTTGCTGAGCTGATGACAAGAACAACTTGCTGTGCAGCTTATATTTCTGTAAACATGTTAAAAATCTGTGTTTGTGTATACAGTGTACTGGCAACACTATGGGGGGTATTTATAAAACAGAGAATCTGACCTTTACCAAACATTCACTGCAGGTGAATCTTCCTGCTGCATGTGTTTAAAATCACAGTGGTTGGTTCACCACCAGTTAATGTTTGGTGAAAGTCACATTCAGGCTAAGTTCACATATGTGCAGGTGGTGCCGCTGCAGATCCCCACAAAAATCCGTGCAGCCGCACCAAACGCACAGAAGAATGCGGACGCAGAGGTGGGTGCCATTAGTTCTAATGGCATGCCGCCCGCACTGGAAATTGGAACCGAGGTTCCCGTGCGGGCTGCGGTTTCCAAAGAAGTGCAGGGACTTATTTCCTACGGGGCACGGGAGTCCATTCAAATGAATGGGCTCTCGTGAGCGCGCAGAACACGGCCCGCAGGAACGCACATATGTGAACCAGGGCTTACTGCTAAATACAATCTGTCCTGTGTTGAGGGCTGTCTATTGCTTCTGATCAGGGGCACACTGACAACTCATGGGGCCCCCGGGCAATAGGGGATCATGGGGCCCTTGTGTCCTTGCCCGAACTCAAAAAAGCCTATGAAAAAGGTACCAGGGGTATCTCATGGGGCCCCCTACTGAGTCTCCTGAGTCTCCAAATGGTCAGTCCGCCCCTGCTTCTGAGTGCTACTTGCAGAAGAAAATTTAGAAAAACACAGCACCGTATTGGAGTGTTCAGCATATGGATCATATTTTCATTTTATGTCAGCTGTGTTTTAGTTTGCATCATATTTCCTGTGCGGTGATTTTGTCAGACATTTCTTTGTGGTTTTACGGTTGGCTGTCTGTTACCTTCTGACACATAACTGTGACAACCTTTCTCAGAGACATGAGCATCAACCCTATCCAGTACACCAGCAACAATGACATTGCAGAACACTTGCACCTGTTTTCAGTAACCCTTTGGGTTGAGTTGAGTTACTAAAACTGGAGAGCATAAAATCTGGTGCAGCTGTGCATGGGAGCCAATCAGCTGCTAACGTCATCTTGTCCAATTAAGCTTTGACAATGGAATCTGGAAGCTGATTGGTTTCTATGCACAGCTGCACAGATTTTACACTCTCCAGTTTTAGTAAATCAACAACCTGATGTCTTGTTCATCAATGCCATGTGGAATAGTGCGGTAACCTACATCTGGCAGCAGCAGTTGCTTTTTATTGCTTTTATTGCATTGATGAAAAAGTAGAAATTTGAGTTGCTATGAGTTGCTGTGCATCATTGCATTTTGTGTTTTCCTTTTTAAATCCCTACTTTGGTATAAAATCCTCACCCTTCCCACCCACCAGCCTATAATTGCTGTACTAAGAAAAATAATAACCTTGTCTAAAAGCCCTTTTTATTTATCCATAGTCATGGTCAAGTGACTCCCTGGTCCAGGTCTTAGTCCTCATACACACTTGACGTTTTTACAGCGGCTGTTTTTGGAGTTTGATGTTTTTTTCTACAGTCAATAAACTCCCCAGTATGTTATCCTATGTGTCCATGCACACATCGGCTGTAAGCAACTTTTTTTGGCTTGGAGGGTTTTTTTGCAAAAAAAAAAACCCAAAACGTAAAAACGTGGTAAACCGCTGCAAACTGGTGGTTTTGGACATTTTCTTTTGGTTAAAAAAAAAAACTCTAAAAAAGGCAAATGTGGGAAAACGCCACTAAACACTAATGCAAAAACACTAAAGAAAAGATGAAAAACTCACGTTTTTAACTTCCTTAGCGGTGTTCCCGAGTGTAGCTCGGGGTAAAATTTCTATACCAAGAGCGGTAACCCCGAGCTACACTCGGGCTTACCATGCGGCGCTGTTCTGGGGGTCCCTGCAGCACTTACCTTGTCCTTCGCTCCCGCGATGTGTCCCCTCCAGCGTCCCCGGCCATCTCCTCCGGCCGATGCCGGCATCCGGCTTCTGTGTTCTGGTCCCTGTGACGTCGGGACGTACGGGCGCCGGAACCGGCGGGAAATTTGAATTTTTTAAAAAATGTCATTTTTGCTGTCATTGCTATTTCAATGCATTTCACATACATTTTGTCCCTACTGCTTTGTCCGGCGCCCTGCCTGCATTTTGACTGTTCTTTCTGCCTGGAAACTTAGAAAAGTCCATGGCGTCCAAAAAGCGTCCCTTTAGGTCAAAAGCGGTTTTAGACCGGCTAGAGAACAGCGATAGTAAATCAGAACCACTTGCAGAATTGAGTGATAATGATTCGTGGGGGAAATTCGTCATCAGACACTGAAAACGATTTTGCGACTTTGCTCAGCGATGTGCGAATTTGCCTCTGTATTTCAAATTTCAGTGTTTTTGGTTTGATTATATTATTGAATTAAATTTATTATTATTATATTATTATTTTTTATGATTATTTATTAAATTATAATTTATGATTTCCTGTTTCAAATTTTATCATATCCGGGATGTTTACTAGACTCTTGTTCGGACAGATTTCAGTGAGTTATTCCTAAAAATTACAGCCTACAGTAAAAAACTACATATTTCCATCCAAAAAAATGGTACCGCTTTCAGCACAAAAAATCGGAAAGAATCATACCGCCAGGGAGGTTAACATGACTTTACACAGCTAACGTTACCAGCGTTATCAAAACGTCTCGTGTACATGAGGACTTATCCTCTTCTGTTTGCCCTGATTGGGTCCTTCTTCAGTTGTCCATGTCATTGCCTGCCTGAGGTGTACACTACTATTGAATGGACTACAGAAAAGATTTCTCAGGATTGAGGAAAAGGCTAAGGGAAGTGGAGGGGACCGGCAGAACAGGCAGGAAAAACACTTGTTTAGTAGGATGGTGAGGGGTTAGAACTTCTGACGAGTTTTATAATTGCTCTGTGCCTTCCTGTCCTGGTGACAGTCATGGTGATTTGTCTAGCACAGTGTTTCTCAACCTTTTTTCAATCAAGGCATCCTTTAAAATTATGGACAGTCCCGAGGCACCCTTTAAAATATGGATAGTCTTGAGGCACCCTATTTCAGAATGTGAAAAACTATTCTAATAGTTTTATATAACGCAGAACATCCACACATGTAGGACACCCAACATTAGAGGTGATTTATTCTTCCAAAGCAAATACACTTTTGCACACTGGTACAGACTAGTATTCTAGTGTTTCTCCTCTCCCTCAGTTTTTCTCCATCACTGAGCTAATGTGACCCCCAACACGGATGGAGAGGGGAGGGGGGGGAGGGTCAAACAAGGATGCTTTGCAGGCAACTGACATCCTCCTTATCAACTGATGATGTCATTGGTTGTCAGGACACCGGTGGCTAGAAGGTCATAAATGGTGCTCAATGAAAACCTGGAACTTTGTGTAACTAAAGGGCAGGCTTGTTCCACCATCTGGCTTGTATACATGTTTTTGGCCATTTTTAGACATTTTGCCAAGGCACCCCAGGGTGCCTGGGCATCCTAGTCGAGAAAGGCTGGTCTAGCACAACAGCAGAGTAAATTTTGTCAACATGCAATGTAAATAAAGGCATGCTGGTGTTTTGCTGTACATTACCTAATGATATCTCGTGCTTTTCCTAGGAATTGAGATGAGAAAGATCAAAGATGCTCACACACCCACCAGCGACACCATCAACATCACTCTTTACTACATGCTGTCCTGCTCTCCAGCACCTCTTGTGGACCCTCTTATAAGCAATGAAGAGCGTGAAAAGATGGAGCTGACGCTAAATTATGCCGACCATTGTTTTAGCGGTCACGCCAGCATGCATGCTGAGAACCTGTGGCCGAGCAAACTTGGAGGGATCACCCAGCTTCTCCAGCTTTGGGACCTTTGGAAACTGACCTTGCAAAAAAGAGGCTGCAAAAGCCTTGTGGCGGCTGGTGCCCACGGACTCATGCAGGGGATGATGCTTAGCTTTGGTGGTCTTCAATTCACGGAAAACCACCTACAGTTCCAGTCTGACCCTCATGTCCTTCACAACAGCTACGCTCTCAGAGGAATACATTACAACAAGGACCTCATCAATCTCGCTGTCCTGCTTGATCTGGATGAAAAGCCATTCCTTCACGTGTCTGTGAAGTTCCAGGATAAGTTGGTGAAACTTTATGCCTGTGAGGCCGGGTGTTTGCATGAGCCGGTGGAGCTGACATCGGAGCTCAAAGGGCATGTATTTCCCGTTCTGGTGACTCAGCCGTTAACACCATTGCTGTATATCTCCACTGAACTGACGCATCTGCAGGATTTGAGGCACACCTTGCATCTGAAGGAGATCTTGGCCCACGAGGAGCACATGGCCAAGCAGTATCCAGGACTTCCCTTCCTCTTCTGGTTCAGCGTGGCTTCTTTGATCACACTCTTCCATCTCTTCTTGTTTAAGCTGATCTACAATGAGTACTGTGGCCCCGGGGCCAAGCCCCTCTTCCGGAGTAAGGTATAAAAACTGCTGCCGCGTAGATCAGAGCTTGTTCTGTCTGCTGGCTTGCGCTTTTGTTTGAGATGCCCAATAAGTAGCTCAGGAAACCTGCTTGGTGTTTGCTTGTGGTGGCGGGGTTCTCTCCTCTCTTTCCATTGATAACAAGCTACAGAACGTCTTGTCTTTTCCTGAAAGACATTGTTTGTACAAGCTCTTCCAGTATGGGGATTTCATGGTGAAGTTCATACTAAAGCTTTTGTGAAGAAATGGAGACACAATTTCTCTGTTTTTATTTTATTATTTTTTTTGGAAAAGGAGATTTTTTTTTTTTGTTTGGTTGTTTGTGTCTCTGATTTGCAATGGATAGGGCACGGAAAAAAGGTCATTTGAGAAATCTTTTAGCCTGAGAGGGAAGAGCTACAAGCTACAGGGTACCTCAATGCCCAGTCTACACTGTACTGGGTAGATGGCTCCTTGACACTGGGACAAGAGACTGTCTGATGCTGAACTTTGGCTTCTCCGTGTGCAGGCCGATCTGAATACAGATCCTGGGTAACGAGAACCCGGTAATGACTTTTGGAATTCTTGCTAAACTAAAATCTTTTGAATCAAATTGAGGATAGAAGAGAGATTTTAGGGAGTGACTTGTTTGTGTGCCAACAAATTTTTCTAATATGCAGAAAAAAAAAACAATTTGAGCCGTGATCATATAGAGTTTTCTTGCTCGCTTTAGCAGCAATATTATCTTGCACCAAAAGTTTACTGAACATACATATAACAAAGATTTTATAGGGCATGGAAGAATTTCTATAATGTGCAAAAAGATCTGTTTATAAGATCAGAGTCCTTACAAATGTATGTCAGATACAGATACATTCTAGGAGCCAGAGCACTAATTCAGCTAGCGCTGAATATTTTTTTTAAGGTGTGTTTTTTTTTTTTTTTTTTTTGTTTTTTTTTATCTTGTAGTTTAGTTAAAACTCATTCTCCCAGTCTCATTAACATGTATTTGTCAGGAGGAAGGCGACTTATCAAAGTGAAGACTATTGTCCACTGCTGGAGGCCATTGCCCGACCTTGAAAGTGGTGCTACATGTAGTATCATGTTGAGGGACATGCCTTCCCTGGATCTATCACTACTTTTGGGAGTTGGTCTGTAGACACTGAATGGGAGCCCAGTTTTGACGGGTAACAGCAAATAAGTTCTCTAAGTATGTGCACCCCAACCATTGGCTCTTACGGATTTCTGCAAAACATTATTTGTGATCTCCTAGCTGTTAAAGCTTAACTCCAGGACACGCAAATACTGTCTAGATACAAGAGCCATGTGCCTTGTCACTTGAGTCTCAGTGTGCTTTGTGTATTTTAGAACTTTGCAGTAATCTAGTGTGAAACTTTGGCTGTGTGCAGAAGCTGCTAAAGTCTGGTCAGTGCTGCGCTTTCGCCTTGAGGACGTGACTGGTCTTGTCTGCACCCTTTGCTGTAGTTTTCTGCAGGCAGTGTGTAGTTGTTAGGCTTGCTGGGTTCCTCCCTCAGTTTTGCTCTCACTGCACATGATATGTACAGCACAGTGATGATATCACTGCTACAAGGTAATATCTGGGTTTGCAAAGCCATTTGGTGCACACAAAATGGATTTTTAGCCTTTGTGGCTATTGAAGAATATATTTAAATGAAAGGTTTTGTGCCTGAAGTTCAGCTTTAATTTTGCCCAAAAAAAGCAAACTGCACCATTTATCAAAGTGAAATACAATCCACTTTCTCCATAGCAACTGTCATTTTTTTTAACATGGGCTTAAAGTGGAGTTCCACTCACGCTGTCAAAAAATAAGTCAGCAGCTACAAAAACTGTAGCTGCTGACTTTTTAAAAAGAGAGCCACTTACCTGTCCTTGGTGTGTGTCCCCGCAGCCCGTTTCACTGGCCGTCCTGTATTCCAGGAGGCCGGCATCTTCAGTGTGTGCACCCGGCTGTGACAGCTTGCGGCTTCACAGCCGGGTACCCACTGTGCATGCGCAAGTAGTGCTGCGCTTCATGAATGGTCCTGTAGTCTTCTGGCACCTGTCATGTGTCCCAAAAGACTACAGGGAGAGAGGAAGGGGGGGGGACACCTTCTGCTTCCGATCGTCTAGGCGATTGGAACAGAAGTGGGAGCGGGTACCTGTCAAATTTGGGTACCCGCTACCCCCCGCCGCCCAAAGGTGCCAATCCTTAATGGGGGAGCGGGGGATCAGTCTTTAAAGCGGAACTTCCCCTTTTGGGGAAAGTGAATCTGTCAAAGCTGCAATACCTGTGTTGCGCTAGGTTCACACCTATGCGGTTTGTGTTTGACCCATTTCTGCATTGCCATTTATGTTTTTGCACCTGTGTTTTTGCCGCTTTTTTTATGCTTTTTTTTTTTTTTTTTTTTTTTTTGGTGCTAGGCAGATTTAAAACGTGGCAAAAACGCAACAGAAACACACTACTTGCTTTTCCGCAGCGTTTCCCTCGAAGTCTGTAGAACCAAAAATGCAACTTTTTGCGTTCAAAAAAGTCCCTGACCCTTTCCAAATAACACGCTGGCTGAAAACGCGGAAATGTGAACGTGTCCCATAGGAAATCATGTTAAATGGCCTGTAGTGCGTTTCTGGAACACACGTAGGTGTGAACCTGGGGTAACAGTTCTGAGATTGAAGATGTTTTCCAGGCTGCGTTCTAGTTATAAAGACAGTGGTGTAGCAGAGCTCAGCATAGTCGGCTTCTCTGTCTTCAGTTCAGTCTGGCACTTGACATCCACAATATTGTAGTTTATGTTAGGCATATCACACAAGTATTTTGCCTTTTGACAAATTAGTTTTATGAATGTAGCTGTCAACATGCAGAATCCTAAAGGAACACGGTCAGTTACGGTCAGTTACCCAAAAAAACGTTTGGTGCAGAAGAAGTAATCTACTCACCTCTTGTTCTATTTGAGTGCTGCAGCCTTCATCAGACACATCAACATGGTCGCCTCTGTCCTACGTTTGTCTGACCAAAGCTGCAGAGCTTGAACACCGCACTGAGACAAACGCCTTCTCTGAATTTACTATTCCTAATCCTACTTAAGGAAGGGGCCTATTCTTCTCTGATGTGGTCAGGCTACAGGTTAATGTCTAACCCTGCTTTGAAGAATGATTATAGTGGTATCTTAGCAATGGAATGATTACTGTTCTTGTCACACTCCGCTTTTCTCTGGAAACCTTTGCAGTGTGTGTTTGCTTTTCCCCCTAATTTTCCCATTTTGTTCAATAAATTTGCAGTGGAAGGTTTAGGTTTGCTTATCGTATCATTTTTGTTGGTTAGTTTTTTTTTTTGTATTATATGTGTATTCTTTTTTTTAAATGGGAGCCAGAACATTGACATGGTCTGTGTCTGACACTCTAGCTTGTGGGTGTTATTTGTACTGGAGAGTACAAAATCTGGTGCACCCCTGCACAGAAATCGGCTTCCAGATATTATTATTAAAGCTTAATTGAACAAACTAAAGTTAGAAGCTAATTGGCTACCATACGCCACATTTTGCACTCTCCAGATTTAGAAAATCAACCCCATGGTCTCCCAGCAGAGATTGCATACTGGTGTCCAATGACACAACCTTGTATTTTTTTTACATTCATCGGCTGCAATGTTGGTTGCTACTAGATTTGCAGCCTCAGAAGCTGAGAAACTTTGTGTGAGGTCAACCAGACAAGAGGATGGCAATGGAGTTCAGATGACTAGGTGACTTTTGATTCCTGCCACTTCTCATTAAGTGTCAGGCTCTGGAAAAGAAGGCTAGATCATGAAGGTAAGTAGAAGTCTTCAAACTAGGCGTTCAGATTCCTGTTGTGACTGGGTCTTTTTAGTGATGTTACCTGCAAATCTCCATAACTACGTTTATCAGTTGCCTAAAAACCCTTGAAGGGTATTGCTTACCTAAATAGCAGTGTTAGAGGTGCAGTCTGACTATCTGCATTGCTGTGAGTTACACTCTATGGCCGAACATGTGTGGACACCTGACCATCACACCTCTATTAGCTTGTTGGACACCTCATTCCAAAACATGCCCATTACTATGTAGTTAGCCCTTTTTTGCTGCTATAACAGCCTTCACTCTTCTGGGAAGGCTTTCCAAAGGGTTTTGGAGTGTCTGTGAGACTGGTTGAGAAGGACCTAGCATGCAATGGATGTTCAAGGTCATCCCAAAGGTCTTCAGTAGGGATGAGATCAGAGCTCTGTGCAGGCCACTCAAATCCCTCTGCACCAAACTGGTCAAATTATGTCTTTATGGAGCTGGCTTTATGCATAGGGGCTTAATCATGCTGGAACAGAGGTTTTTCCCCTAAACTGTTACCACAAAGTTGGAAGAGAATTATCTAAAATGTCTTTCTATGGTGCATTATTAGTCATATCCTTCATTGGAAACACCTGAACCCCATCATTGAAAGGAGTAGCCACATACTTTTGGCCATACAGTGTAGATCATCTTGGTGGCAGGGCATGCTTAAGGCTTTTATATTCTTATTTTCAAGAATACTGTTACCCTACATAAAAACCCAAATGCACTAAAAATTGAGATTGTAGGATGAGCTGAGTAGATTGCTATGTACAGTGAGGGTGTCTTTGCAGGAAACCAGAATAAGCCTTTCCAAAAAGAGAAATCGCTCTGTCAGTGCATACTGATTTCACTTGGTACATCCCTGTGGAACCATCGCATATCTGTTCTGTTTGGCATATAGAGTCCATGTGCTTTGACTCTATTGGCCTTGGGGAAAATATACACAAAAAAACCTACTAGAACTATAGGACACTACTGTCACCGAGAGCCACCACTTAGTGAGTATGTGTAGGTAATGTACAGTGGGAGGATGAAGATGAGGGGGTTAATGTGCAGGATAAGGGAGGTGAAGATGTTAACATACAGGTCACTACAGAGACATAATGGAGATAAGATTTTTTTGGAGGGGGGGGTGACAGGGTTAAAAAAAAAAAATATTCCCAATCATTATTTTAATAAAACTGCAAATTA